TCCGGTGCAGGAGGAGGTACAACAAGCCTCTCTGCTAGGTCGGAGAGTAGCTAATCCACTGTGGACAACGGAGCGAAAGGAAGGCTCCACGGAGCTGGCAGCAGTGGCAAAACTGTGAATGGATTTCACATAAAACAAATTGTGAGCGGACCCTCGTTATTTCCACCTCTGTGGGAATATTCGTATTCGTATACGAATACCCCCCTCTCTAATCATCATCCTTTTAAAATTTCAGTTAAATATACAAATTTCCCTGCTTATAAGGATTTTAGCTCTGCAAATGTCATTCTCTGGAGATTCTCTGATGCACAATACTGCAACGTCGCTATTTCTATCTTGAGGAAATGAGAATTCTACAGAATCTAAGAAGCTATAAGCTGGATCACACTGCTTCAATTGGGAGTCTTCCTTGGGATGCCTCTTTTTCTGGGGCGGGGGCAGAGTATGCTTACCACACTGGACAATACTTCGGAACCGAATATCACAGGCCGGTCCAATCCCATGGACAACAAAAACCAAATGATCTATTTGTGGAGGTTCCCCTGAAATAAAAATGGTCAACAGAGAGCATTATAGAAACTCTTAGCACTTCTGTGACAGCCAAGCATACAGCTTATCATCCTAGCTAGGCCTGCTAACTGACAGCCCCATTCCTCTGCTAATAAACACTGCCGCTTTGCATCTGCGTCCTTCCCTGGACATTATTCTCATCACCATACAGATGTGTATTTGCATATGAGCAAGTGGATTTGGAGCCGCAAAGGCTCACACTGAAATAAATCTGTGCCACAATATTTTCCCTTCCCCCATCCCTATCTTTGCCAACATTCTGAGGCTGGCAAACACGGATACCTCCTTTGGATTTTGTCAGCAATTTCTAGAGGGCCAGATGTGTGACAGTATGCTGTGTTAAATTTTTACTTTCCACTCCCACTGAGGAAATATTGTGGATGATATTTAGTTTGGTCTGATCATATCTTGGCTTCTGCTCCCTATTATTTAAATATTAACAAACAGCCTCGCTGAACAAGTATGATATAGACAGAAAGCCATTTGTTTACGGCACAATTGTCATATAAACTGGCATCAAACAAACCAAATAATGCAAGTTTTTTTAAAAAAGCAAGCTAAAAAGAGAAGTATTATTTACCGTTAGGGATGTCAACAGAAATGTTTTCCACTCCTCTCTTCACTGTCCTTGGCCGGCCCTGTTCAGCAGGGCTTGCACCCCAGTCATCAGTGGTTGCTACTGGATGGTAATGTACCATCAACTTGAAAGAACACCAAAAGAAAGCATGCAAGAATAAAGTTAGTGAGCAAAAAGGACCACAAAATAGAGACAAGGCCTCCACCACCAATGAGCCTAAAGACAAACTGAACATGCGAGGGCACCCCAGTCAATTCAGTGTTGCATGTTGGGTGCTAATTATGTCTACTGTTTGTGCAACATCTTCAAGGCAAAATATGTTCCAAAGTCACTTCACAAATGTACTAGTTCTGAACAATTTCAAACAGAAACAAAAACAATTTCCAGTGAATTCCACACTTTCAGTCATGTCTGGTTAATTCCCAAAGCCATTTTAAAAAGGAGGTTCTGAAAGGATTTTTGTTAGCAATTCAAAGTCTCCCCCCCAAAAAAAGAGAAATTGAGACAAATCTGTAAGGTAAGGAGAGGCCACGTGTGGCCTCAACACCTCACCAAGATTCCTATTAAATTTCAAAGAGATTAAGTCTCAAACCTCCCTTTGCTCCCTTCCAGAGGAGATGCGGAAGGATTCTGACATGTCCTGAAGGTTCTCGGCATCCTCTGTGGGCCCTCACACTCCCGCATTTAAGAAAATTGACCAACAGGGAGAACACAGATCCTTTTTTTTAGTTTAAAAAGGTTTTTCTGCAAGAAAACATTGAATGGGGTACATAGGTGTCCCCATCCAACGTGCAAAGATGGGATGTGTAGGTCTCATGAGCTTCTGACAAATGCCCACCCCTGCTCTAGGGCCACCGCCAAATACTGGTGGGACCAAGTGTTAATTTTTTAAAAGAAAGCGTGTAATACAGACCCTAAACATCTGATCTTAAAGTCCTGGGGATTCATATGGGACAAAGCATCCCCTTCACCACTCTTACTTTGTACCAAGACAAATTTAAAATATGGAACATTTTTGGCTGGCCATAAGATTCAATTAGGAAACACAGATACTGGATCAGATTGGGTACAGTTTCTCCCCAGTCCAGCACAGATCTGTGGAAAGGACTGAGATTCTGTTTCCCCACCCTGGAGTTATTACAAGACTGTCTATAAGTATAAAGCTCACCTTGTTATAATAGGACAGAACTGACCACATAACATGGGCAGAAGCATGGTGGAATTGACAGCTATAGTTTATATTTAAAGGTTATTTAAATAGCGACTGGATGCCTGAGAGGGTTTTTGTCACATACAGCACTGATGGTACCTGTCTGTCATGGGTTTGGAGGGAAAGTTCCATCCTATGGGGAGTGGAAGGCGGGACATCAGGGGGGAGGAGCTGTACTGTATATATTTGGGGGAAGTCCTTCGTAAGAGAGCTGACGTGGAGAAGTGGAGTTGGAGTCTGTGGGTCAGACTGGGTACAACTGTTCGTCAGATAGTACATACCTGATAGGTTCAGGTTTCTATCTAGGTAGCCAGAACGGATAGGTTCAGGGTCTGTGCGTTACCTTAAAGTGTTCCGTGGGAACCAATCTGTTGTATGTGTATGATTGGGACTATCCCAAGTTCCTGTATCCTATTTACCTGATCCTTTTATTTACCCTGTTTGTTTTTTCAATAAACCTTGTTCTCTTGTTTATTAAAATCCATTCCTGGTCTGGGTGACTTGGGAGAGCGAATGGTTGGTGGCAGCCTAACTACAGGGTGGGATACTCCAGTAGGTCTGGGGTTGCTACAGTTTTTAAATGGATTATAGTAGCTTACTCCTTTGAATATGTTTCAGTTTTGCTTATGTTTACTGTTTTTTAGTATGGTAGTTATTTTTAGTATTTGTATACTCACTGTAGTTAGCATTGAATACTGTCTTTTAATGATGTAAGCCACTTTGGCTCCTTTTTAAGGAGAAAGGTGAGGTAAAAATATTTTAAATAAAAATAAATAAATAAATATTTCCACACACTCAAGTGTAGAAACACTGGAGACGAGACCGGTATACTGCTTGGGCAGGTACACTGACTCCCAGCTGTGCAGGCCACATTAGAAGGACAGATTATTTCATCTGGTCCATCTTTTCCTAAAACTAATTTGAAGCTGCTTGCTAAAAGATGCTCAGTGTTTCCTCTTGTTGAGAGAAGAGCAAATTAATTTACCTTTGGATTGTGTAATATGATTACTTCTCTGGTTGGGGACTCTAGTTTCTTTTTCCACTCGTCTAAAGTCACACAGATCATGTAGGCATCCTGAAAAGGAGAAAAATCTGTTCTAACATTACAGTTTCAATCACCAAACCGGTAAAGTCTCACCTAATTTCCCAACACCTCTCCCCATCATCCGCCATTCACTTCTTAACTCAAACTGTTGAAGCCAAAACAAAATTTAAGTCACCCTCTCATTGCTTATGGAACGGTCAAAGGCAGCAATGACCAAAAAAAGCAGGCCAGTGTCTTTGCTACAGGGATCTGAGAACCAGAAATGGATTTTGATCCATGAAAGCACACAAGGAAATAGATCTGTTAGTCTTTAATGTGTTACAATACTTGGTCCTCCTGCCTCCTTCTTTTGCCAAATCACTGATAAAACTTTCTTCAATCAGCAATCAACCCCCCTCTCAAGAATACACTCCTCCCTTCAACACACTTCTCCCTTCAACAACATACATACATACATACACACAGAGAGAGAGAGAGTGAGAGAGAGAGAGAGAGAGAGAGAGAGAGGACAGTTCTCTCTGCCAGGGTTCTCTTCCATAGCGCTTTCAATACAAAACTGTATGTAACGAGCCTGAAAGGTCTTTATGGCCTCATGTTCTACAGGCTGATTAGAGATGTTATGTTTGTGGGCAAGTAGACCACTCTGACACCATAAGTGTTGGATTTATGAGGTTATGGGTAGCCAAGGGCACAGTATTATATATTTATTAGAATATTTATTTAGTTAATTTTGGGGAAAAATCTGTACAACCGTGTTGTTGAGACCGATGCAATTCAAGGGTGTACTGTGTGGTTGCTACCTGATTAGTGTGAATACTCCAGTTTTGCCTTAAAGGCACTCTTGCAAACAGCCTGAGATCTGTCAAAATAACCCTATCCTGTCTGCCAAGAGCCCAGACAGCCAGTGGAGGTCTCTTAAGGGCAAGGCTGTGGAACCTCTGGCCTTTCACTCTCCTCAGCCCTATCCAATTTGGCCAATAGTAGGAGAAATACTAGGAAGACAAAAGTTCCCCCATCTTGTTTTCAGAACACCTGGAGATCTCCTACTTGGTGCAAGCACAAGGTGTTTTCTCCTCCAGTATTTGCAAGCAAACAGGATACTGAAGTCTACTGAAATATCTGATGCCAACTACATCACAAAGTTCTGTGTGAGAGAGAATATCTGATACTCCATCACTGAGGAAAGACTCTTTTGCAGCAGCAAAATAAGTGGCATTCTGGCACCAAGGAGAAAGGAGGCAGAATACACAGCACAGCAGGAAGATGTAACGTGAGAGAATCCCAAGACAGCCCGCCAGCAATGCTCTTATTTGATGGTGCATCTCCAACATTTAGATGCCTTTTGTGCTGAAGAGCTGCTCCTTATTCCAGACTATCCAGACTAGGAATACAGGTTCGTATCCAAAACGCAGAGGTCAGAGACAAACTTCTAAAATATGTTAAAAAGTTGGTCAAAGTTCCTAAAATGTGAAATGTGCAGACAAGGGATTGCCAGACTGGACTGTAAGGAAGGCAAGGCTAGACTCCGACAGAGTATATGGAAGACTCACATTACTACATTGTGAAAAAGGCTGGTCACAGGACTGAATGCAACATAGTTGACCTACAAATCAAATAAAAAGTAAAATACACCAGCAGAACTTCAACAAAAAAGAGGAAAGTTGAAGCTCAACAAAACTTGGCTCCCAGCTCTCAAAAATACAGTGTGCAAAAGGTAAATGAACTCCACCCAGCCACAACGACAGGGGATCACTACACACAAAAAAACAGCTAATGACACCTATCAACCACTGTGTGTTTAGTCGTTTAGTCGTCACAACAATACACCCACAACAAGACACACTAATCACCCATCTACAGAAAAAGACAAAAGCCTATCTCACAGCCATAAATACTGCACTCCCAAGCCAACTACACCAGAGCACGGAGTGCTGTTCTCTGAAGATGCCGGCTACAGAGACTGGCAAAACGTTAGGAAGAACAACCTTCAGAACACGGCCAAAGAGCCCGAAAAACCCACAACAACCACAAAATGTGAAAGTTTCTTTCTCATGCCTGTTTCTAGTTTCACAGCACTAGACAGTGCTGAACTGCTCTGGACTACATCTGACATAATGCAAATAATCCATGAATGGGAACTAGGTCAGCATTTTAAAATGCTAAAATGAAGGGAAGTGGTTCTAAGCCACTCTAGGACAACTTCTAAATTGGGCTTTTATTGTGTAACTATGACTATGATTTTCTCTTTGTAATCCACTTGTGTTTACCTGATGCTTCTTCTGTTTTAAAACAAATTGTGGAAGCTTCCTCCCACGAAGCATTGCAGCAGAAAATGAAGGCCTCGCTCTTGCCAGGCGAGTGAAATGAATGTATGTGTTTGTGAGCTGGAATTCCCATAATTCTGCCTCGGAGAAGTTGGGAGTCCAAAAACACCTAGGAATGTCACATCCCTAAACACCATAGAGGAAAAGAGTCTCTTTCTCTTTCTCTCTCTCTGACCCAAATTCCCCTTCTGCTCCAGCAAAATTTGTAGATAGTTCCAAGATTTCCTATACCACATTTAGTTTGACCCCAGCATCAGTCATAAATTTCATGTTGTAACCAAGTTGGGCTTTCCAAAAAGAACAGACAGACCTCCCAGAAATTAAAATTACAAATATGTCAGGTATCCTTAGCCAATATTACCTCCAATTCTTCACTGAAGTTTTCAGGGTATGGAATATATCTGTTGTCTTTTTCTCCCTTGTAAAACCAAGTGCAGCGTCTCACTTCAGATTCAGTCTCATCCCAGTAAACAGCACATCGCAGCCTCTTCTGCAAGTGTACGTCATACCTGCCCCCTTCTGTTGGAACAACCAGGTCACCACAGTGCTTGCCTGCAAAAAAGGACTGTGATGAAGGAAAGATTACATAGAAGATACTACAACTACATCCTGAACACCCACACACCATCCGTAAGCCCTGGTAGAAAGGAAAACAAGAACTTCTCATCAGTTTTTTTAAAAAACACACAGGCCTCTATTTTCATATTGTACAACGCAGAATTTTGAGAACTGTAACTTTACTCTTTCAAATGTCCAGATCATCTTTATTTATTAGTTGTTGATTTCTTTTCATTTGTATTTTGAAGAAACAGATATGAAAATGCACAAAACAATGTTTATAAAAAGACAACAGACTCTGTAGGCAAACTGTGTGCATTCTCCATATCTGTCTTTTTCTTTCTTTCTTTCTTTCTTTCTTTCTTTCTTTCTTTCTTTCTTTCTTTCTTTTTGTAACCTGCAGTCACATTTCATTTACCTCTTGGTACCAAAACTCTTGAGGAAATACAATTTATAACTCAAATAATTTCTACAATTCCCAGTGTTTGCAAGAATTTGCTTATTTGTTTGAATTTTCATCCCACCCATTTAGTGGCCAGACCACTACTCTGGGCAGCTTCCAATATGGTAAGATAAACATAAGCATATGATAAAACTACAATAATAACCTAACACACAAAAACTAAGCCTATGAGTATAAAATAACTAATACAGAAATACAAACAGTACAGCAGATGGTGGCAAAACATGACCAATTATTATAAAATCAACGGACTACAGAAGTTTACTGGTACTCACAATAATACTGGAAGTCATGTTCCTCAGAGTCAATTTAGAAACCACCAAACTAATTTATAAAACTCACTGCCACAAGACATGGTGATAACTACTAGCCTAGGGTTGGCTTCTACCAGTAATTAGACAAACTCAGTAAGAATAAACCTACTAATGGCTATTATAACAAGACACTGGAATAGATAGATCTTCAGCCTGATCCACTGTAGATTCTCTTATGTCCATAGATGCATTATGGGTGGCAGGGACAGAAGGTGTCCCGCCTAGAAATATTCATATTTTGCACCAATTTTTAATATCCTATGGTTTAGTGTTAATGAATTATGTAGAACACATGACATTTAGAACAGGCGTGACCTGTGGCATTCCACATGTTGTAACACTATGTCAATTTCTACCATGCTTTTCCTCCCCATGTTTTTATTTAACCTATTTTTAGTTATTGTATCTATCCACCCACCCCACCACTCCATTTCAATATCACAGAACTTTAATACAAAAGCCTTTTCTCTCCTGGTTCAGAGACATTTATTTTAAGGGAAAATCACTTCAGATGAGATACAGTCAGATTACAGCAGCCTTCTGAACTCCTCTAACACAAGGTGAACACTTGTGAAAGATTACTAACCTAGAATCTATAGTCCAGGATAAGACAGCTCTCTTTAATCCCATCCCCACAATCAAATTTCAGCTTACTGGATTGGTGGGCAATTTCCAACTTCTCTGAATCTTGTCCACTGAAGGGAATCCATCTTTCCCTGGAATCTACTTCCTTGCAGTAAAACCAATGGGGGGAAACGGGTTCATATTTATTCGCTGACTCTGCTTCCACTGCATCATAGTAGCTGGATGAATTAGAGTTAGATGATAAAGAAGGCTCTGTTGGTTGCTGTTCCGCTGTGGACATCGCACTGCCTGGAAGGGGAAAAAAAGCAGAAATGGACAGAACACAAAACACATTGTTAACTTGAAACATTTGCAATTTCTTCAACACCACTATATTAAAAAGATACATATAGATATACAGAGAAATAGGCATATATATATTTGAAATAATCCAGCCCCTTTCAAAAGATCATGATTTCTGAGCAAATAAGTCAATCCTTGTCATTCTGATCGGTGTCCCCATGACTATTCTGACCCAGGATACAGCAGCAATAAACAATGATGCTCTGTTACATCAGTCTCCAAGTTGTTTGGCCAACATATTGTTCTCCTTGCACTTCACTTTTCATTTACAGTATTTCACCTTGAATGATGAGCTATAACAATCTGTCTCTTTTCTGTCTTGTTCCATGACCAAAGTATTCTAACTTTCTGTATTTTACCAGCTGTATGATTTTGTGGTCTTTATTCATTTATTTTAATACTTCACTTGTCATCCCCGACCTGATTTTTTTCTTCTGGATGCTGTAATGCATACACATTTCAAGCATTTATTTTTAATAACAGCCCCTGTGAAAGCCCATTCTGTATAATAGAACTTATAGCAGATCTTAGAATACACAATACAACATAAAGAGCAACCCCAAACCAATTTTAAGGTTTTTTTGTCTAAAATTTCAAAGACATTCCTCAGAGCCATTCCTATTCTGACTGCTACTGCATTAAATTAAATTATTTGTCAAATTTTCAGTTTGGATATTTCACTATGTTTCTTGGGTCGCTTGCTTTCCTCTGATTGCTGTGAACTTGGCTTAACATTCATTCTTACATAATGCTTAGTATTTATTTCATTTAGTTTATTGCTGACCACCTGCACTGTCAGCCTCCAATACCTATCAGTTGCAGACTAATAACCCTTCTGCTGACAATGATATCATAATTTGAATCAGCTTGTCACCTGCCTATCAATTGCAGACTAATAACCCTTCCGCTGACAATGATATCATAATTTGAATCAGCAAGCACTTCTATAAAGATGTTCTTGGAGCACAAACTGAAAAGCATTGCTGAGTATTTGTCCTTGTAATGTTATTCTTCGTCTCTTTGTGTCCTCTATCATCAGATCTTCAACTTTTTGTAACAATTTGTTCCTGGTATAGGTTGCTGATTACACGAATACCTCTTGAAGGAGCTATGCCATTCTTTATTAGATGTGTTGAACTTTGTATTTCTGTATCTCAGCTCCCATCTCAACATCTGGTAAAAATAAACACTATTTGTTACCTTCTAAGTTTTGTCCAGCAACAATTCCACCAGTTTGCATACTGGACTTTGGCAAAGTCTTACTTAAATAAGCATTCTTAGTCATGTGCATCTCATCTCTCCTTAAATACATGTAGGCAGACTTTGCTTCCTTGGTTCCAAATCATTCTCTGAATCTAAAGTGCATGCCTTCTTTCCCTTCTTCACACTTCTTGTAAATTCTGTAGTGTAATATTTGTAAGAAAATCACAGGCTTATGAACCTTTTTTTTTCTGTAGTCACCACAAGCTTTTTTCTGTAGTCCCCATTTCGTTATGTAACATGTCAACTCAGCCAGTTTTCAGAAACAACTGCAGTTCGGGGCAATCCCACCAAGTTCTGACACTTATACAAAAATATGCTTGAATCCAGCAATTTTGCTGGATTTTGTTAATCTTACATTTTGTATTTCTAAATTTTTGTTCCTGCATTGTCCTCTGATATAATCTGTTGATCTCCTATCTTCAAATAGCTTTTCAAAGTACTTATTCCATACTATAATTTCTCCAAAAACATTAGCTATGAGAACTACTGTTATTCATCAGTAGTGGCAATTATTATTATTGAATATGTTACCCTTTTATCTGTTTATCCATATTAAAAGAGTTGAAGATATTCTGCAGGTGTTCCATTTCTATACTTTATCTCTAGTTTATATTATTTTGGCTGGTCACATGCAATTCTCTATATTTGATGCCATCTTTACTTTTTTAATTTTTGTATCTCTCCCATCAGCTGTTACATTTGTTCTGTCCTTTTCATTTGTCCTTCCACTTCTGAGGTTGTTGTGGTCACATCATCTATCTCTGTTAATTTAGGACAAGTGACATTTTATATTTGAGCTAAATGAGTGCAAATTTACTGATGTTTCCATGAACCTTTTAATAAAGTATATACAGTTGGATCATTCAGTTCTTTAGTTTCTATGCTTTGTCTCTTTTTTACTTGTTTTATATTATCCTTACTCAGAGGCATGCTACATCAGCAACAGCTTCAGAATACCTTTTTATTGCCTGAACTAAACATAGGCTGAAATCCTGTTGCGCTAGGCATAGGGTAAAAACATTTCTGCACATCTGAATGCCATGAAACCCATTGCATGCCTGAGTGCACAACTGATTGTGCAACTAATCGTGCAACTGCACCTGCAAACCTCTTGCTGGATATGGCTTCCAACTTGGTGTGAATTCTACAACTGCTTACACAACATCAAGTGTAGCTTAAACAAGATTTTAGTCACTGTATACAGTACTAGTAGTTACTTGAACATAGACAAATCTTGGCAAATAAATGTCACTGGTGCCAAGAATTTTAGCATTCATTCTTTTGATATATTTTACTGTATTATTTAGCTTTTATACCTTGGACATTCCAAGCTCCTAACTTAGCTTTCAAGCCTGAAGACTGTTAGTACTGCCTGGACATCTAACACCTACAAACAAACTGAAGGCCTTTTTACTTTTTTTTTCAACTGCCCTGAAAAAAGTACTTGAAAGATATGGGCCAAAATTCTCTTGCATAGCTACACAAATAGTATAACTTTGGAGATACATTGCCCCAATTTATGAAATAATTTTAGACATTATCAGTTCCATGCCCAGTCACATAACTCAGTATGCAACCAATATTGTCTACAGTGATTTCTTAACGTGGAGCAATTTGCCTCAAAAGGCACGAGGATTTCAGTCATAATGAGTTGGTTTTCCATTGATTTCTTCATCTCGATTGCAACAACTGTGATCACATCCACATTTATCCATTCAAAATCCTACTAGCTTTGTTTGCCTTTGGCTGGTCAGGACAGCTAGAGGCAATTTAGTCTTTGTTTTAATCCTGTATATCTCTTGGGCATGCTTCTCCACCCAAACCCACTGACTCTTCCAAGGGTGAAGTTAATTAACTGCTAGTCTGTACATATGTAGCTGAAAAATGTGGTGGTACTACTCACGGGGTTGATCCAGAATCCAACCCCTCTATGATATAAGACATATAAAACTTTAAATTCCTACTGATGAGCCAACAACAACTGCACTATTGATAGTGTCTCAAAAGCCCATCACATGTGCAACCACAAATATGAACTATCACTTCTCAACACAGTTAAGTGGGGAGGAAGTCAACTGAACTTTTCATAAATAGATTTAGTACTGGGTACTTAGAATGAGCAAAACAGCAGGAGTTTAGGCTCCGCTGAAGTTCCTTCCTTCTTCACTTGTATTCCCTAACAAAGACTCCTCAAATGTCTTGGAAAGTACTGTAACTGACAACACCACCCTACAGAAAGCCAAAATAAAAGTCTCACATAATTCTACTGGACAGACAATCTAAGAATTGCACCCTAAATTATATTTTGCAAGGATCTGTGATAATGGTGCCTGCATAATCTCCATGTACTAGACTAATTCTTTGATTTTCAATTCTACACATTACACAAGTATAAAAACAAGAGCTGAGGATTTTAACATGTCTCCTAAGAAAATTCTAGCATTCAACATGTAATGGTAGGTGCCATCATTGTTTTTCAATTTTATTTTCCTGATTTTCACAAATGCAGTCTTCCAAGGTTCTTGAACAAAGGTATCTCACCATACAGTATGTCTAATAGCCCACACAGATACTTGTTATAGTTTTATAATCTTATCCCTTTTAATTTTACAGAAGATAAATTGTAATAGCATCACTTTATTGACATAAAAATGCATCCAGAAGATAATGAGCTGGAAACAGCCACAGGATCCTAATTACTTTTCTGTTCCACTGCAGGATCAAGATAATGATGCTTTTATTCCTTTAAAGAGACCACATGGGCTTGTTAACAGCAAACATTGAAATCTCAGTGTTACGATACTTGCTATATACACCTGAGCCAAGCTCATCCAAGTTAACTTCCTACTTCTGCAGGCTGCAGGTAGATTCACATATTCACCTATTTGACAATTCTACTTCTGCACAACAATGCATCAGCTTACTCAAACGTTCCTTCTCCAGAAATGTTCAAGGGAGATTTCTTCATTGCTCATTGCTTCAAAATATTAAGGCGCATACAATGATAGAAAAGTTACCATGATGATTGGGTTGCTAGTTCTGGCATCACAGACATGGGCTGCGCTAAGGAAACGGAAACAATGGAAACAACAAGAACAAGGCGCTGTCAAGTCAGTTCTGACTTATAGTGACCCTTTTGGGGGTTTTCCAGGTAAAGAGTCCTCAGAAGTGGTTTGCCATGCCCTTCTTCTGGGGACGTCCTGGGACTTACAGCTTGCCCAAGTTCACACAGGCTGGTTCTACTTTACAGAAGGCAGCGTGGGGGGGGGGATCAAACTCCAGTCTAGATACCTACCTGACTGAGCTACCTAGCCAGCTAAGTGTAAAGATAATAGGAAATGAATTATCTTACTAATTGCAAATTGTACAAGGACAGACGGCCATTTGGACAGGCAACCACGGCCCCACATTAACAGCCACCCTCAGCAAGATGTTGACTTTACTGGCAGCAATGCGATGATGAACAACTGATCCCTTGTGTAGGAGGAGCACCTACCACTTCCTTTTAACCGCACAGAGCGTTCTTATTGACACTCAGCTCACCCATACAAAGGCCTCCTCCTCCTCCTCGCCGCCACCACCACCACAGGCTTAACCGATCATTTGTTTGTTTTGTTTGTTTGTTTATTTTATTTCTATCCTGTTCTTATTGACACCCAGCTCACCCATGCAAAGGCCTCCTCCTCCTCCTCCTTGCCGCCACCACCACAGGCTTAACCAATCATTTGAGCACATGCTTCGAATGCCGCCGGGAGGGTTTCATCATCATTCATGCTGATCGGTGCCCATCACCGAGGGAAGCAACAGGGAGCGTGTGACGAAAACGATTCCCGGGGGGGGGCTGCAGAAACCGCCACCATCGTCACCCTGGCACAGCCATTAGTGACACTCCTAATGCCACGTTCAAAGCACGGCTGCCCCCCTCTTCCCCCCCTCCCCTCGTTCAGCAAAGCGCCCCAGCAAACCAGCACCGGATCCATCCCTCCCTCCATCCCCTTCAGGAGCCCCGGGCACCTTTTAACTCATCCCAGAGGAAGGCTGGGTACCATCACAGCCATCCCCTTTTTTTTCTTCCCCTCCCTCCCT